AGTCCTCCACAGTGCTATGTTGAATTGCACTACAGCAGACTCACGGGCTCCGTACAATGCAATGTGGGCCATTACTACAGCGCAGTAGATCCTGCTGTAGTGCAATGCATAATTTCTTTCCAAAATCAGATCTGACACCCGTGGGTGGCGAAAACGGCGGCGCTGTGCCTGTACCTGTGCTGGGCTGTGCAGAGGACGAGTGCTGCAGCGCTGGGCTGGTTTCAGCCAGGTTGTCCGGCCCTGGGGACAGGCGATTGGGCAGGGGTTTGAGGCCCTTTGTAGAGTAAGTGCTCTCTAACTCTGCGTACACAGCAGACATCTTCTCAAAGAGAAATGTGGAGACACATGGCAGAGAGAGTTCAAGGGTTAAGTCGGTTTTCAGACCCAGGATCCTAAAGGATTACAGTCCAAAATTAAGCACAGAGTCTAAGCCATCATAGGCTAGGTTTTACCACTATTTCATTTCTTTAATTTCTATTAATTTATAGCAATAATATTCAGCATGTTGGTGTTGGAGATCTGGAACATGACGTTCAGCATATCTGTGAGGAGAGATTTTTCAAATTTCTATTAGTGTTCAGGTCATCAGTGCACAATATTCACCATTTTGAGACCAACTGCAAGTTCCTCACTCCTTGATTTCAGAATACTCACGTTTTTGAGATTTGGGGTCTCTGGAAGGGACGTTCCATCTCCAGATTGTCTCTCTCCTGGGGTGAGTCTCATTCCGTCCCCTGGGTCACTGTGAGCCCCTGGAATGCAGAAGTGAGACGCAGCCACATCATAACATCATACATCAGTTTGCAGAAAACCTTCCCACTCGTTGACATACAAATCATAACTGACCTTTTCTTAGAATGGACCACAGTTTTAGCTGAGACCTTCTCCATTGATTTTGTTTTCCCTATATTTCCTTGACAAACTGTTGTGAATATCGAATATACTATTGGATTAAATTGCATATATGAATATTAAATCTACAGAATTGCTGAATGGCATCTTTTTTCACATGCACTTATAGTATGTGGTTGCAAGATAAGAAAAATGAATATTAAAGAAAGAATAAACCAGTATGGGGCTATAATTAAGGAATAGAGAACGAGGGGATTAGAGCTTTTTATTTTATAGCTGTTTCATGTCTCTGAATATTCAGTCTTTTATGTCCCAATGTTACACTCTTTCAATGGGAAATGATTTCAAAATTAAATGATTTGCATCCCACACTTAATCTGAAAAAGATCCCAAAAAACATGCTTCACACATTGGAGGTGACCCACTCACCCACCACTGGCGTGTAGTGACC